TCTCGAGGACAATCTGCGTTACGTAATACGTCATAGAATAATATTAAGGAAAAGGCATTATAGCAAATATAAAGATTTATCTATTATTCTATTCTATTGAAAACTGAATTCGTTAAGATATTTCTCAATTCTCGGTTTATAGAAATAAAAAGACGCCTACTTCGCAGAGATCGTTTGCTCTATAGCATCGCGTTACCATGGCCGCCTGTAAATCCCGTCAGAATGAGGCGACACATGCGTGAGAACGACTCCGCTCCGCGTCGTGTCGCGTCGCAAAATCTAACGCGACGACTCCTACTTGGGTAGAGGGAGGAGATCGCATGGGAAATCGGAAGGTACCCTTTGGTACCCTCGTTCGATCGTACGGCCGTTGTCTTTCGTATGCGTCCTCACGTACAGCTCGTTCGATCTTTTCCGCGAAACCTAAGACACGTCGCCTGACATAGAGAGAGGTGGACTCGGCGCACTCTATTCGGCGTACGTAAGTACCTATCTACCTGCTTGTCCGCCAGCCCGCAAGTCTACCGACGAACGCACACGAGCGTGGATGCGCGCGTACGTAAAGTCATAGGCCCGATAGACTGACGGACGAGGTAGGCAGGCAGGCGGGCAAGCAGGCAAGCAGGCAGGCAGACAGGCAAACGGCCAGATAGCCTCGCAGCGGGATTCTACGTGCCTCACGTGTCCGCTCGCTTCCTTCGATCTCTTTAGATTCGCCTCGAATCGCCTGTGCCGCCGCGTGATGCTCTAATACGCCGGGACATGCAGATTGCACGAATTCCGAATCGACCCGGTCACCAACGAGAGCTTGCCCATTGAATAAAATTTCTAGGAGCACTACTACGAATTGTTTAAAAACATCAGACTCTAAAAGTTTGGACTCTAAAAGTGTGTTTCATTGTGTGTGCAATATATAAAATAGAGGATAAAGATTGTAAGAACCAGCTGACTAATACCTAATTGCGTTTCTCACTCTTGACTAAGCAACGCAATCAGTAAAGGTTGCGTTGACAAAATTGATTATTATCTTGACTATGTGCCTATTGGTATGAAATTATGTTTTAAATATTTAATCTGTGCAACACCCGCGGACGGCGTTTTTCAACAACGTTTTAGAAACCTTGCGTCAACTGCCAGGAATGGAACCGGCCATGGTTTCACAGGAAATTAATTAATTGGTCACTATACAGAGAGAAATAGACGTGCATCGACTTCTTCGAAAATACCGTTCGACTTAATTAATTTCCTACGCCTACGCGAGTTGGTCGACGTGGCGATTCCTTCCACGTCCCTCTCGAAAAGACAGTGGAATCGTGCCGGCAATTTCCAATATCGAGAGGTTCCGTTCCCTGTATCGAAGGCCACGTCTGATTCGCACGCATTGGATGCTTTTTAAGTTTTCTTGTGTATTTTCTAAAAAGGAAAAATTGTCCAAGGGTGCATCCATAAACGGCGTGATCTTAAAAAAAATTCCTGCTCGCGATGATTTATGTATTTCGGCGCTGTTTACGCGCTCTGACACGCATTCAAATAATGGTTTATGCGTGTACTTCGCGTCGCACAATTTGAGAAACAGGATAATTCATGTTACGTACTGGACGGCCGTGGAATACGAGATGATGCACACGACCGCGATGCAGCACGTTATCACATCCCACGCTCCTCTTTCTTCCGCATTATATTTATTATATTTTCTTAAGGTCAGAGAGAGATAATCGCGCACGATAACATTGATAACTGCTATTCTTAATAGTTATTGAGTATATGTAATTTTGATTTTAAACTGCAACTTCAATCATTGCCTATTGGTAATTTATTATCATAGCTATATTTACTAAACAGTCCTAATTTCTCAATCTCATACGATTAATTTCGTTCCTTATTTCTTATCCGGCGTTCCAGGTAAATTTAATTATTATCAGTTGCTTTGGTTAGATCATCAGCCGCAAGGCGGTTGCATCCTCAAAGATGCATCTACCTCAGTGGCTTTCAATTTCTCCCTCGTTATTTAACGGTGAAAGGGGAAATTCGTCAGGTACGCCCGCGTGATTATGAAGCTGCGAGCGGAATAGCGAAACGCCCACGCGAATTCCTAGATCGGTACCATCTTGTCGGCTCTTGGTTCTCTTCTCTTGGCGCATCACGCGTGTTCGTTCCTTTGTTTTAGGACTATTTACTTGCATGATAATTCCGAGCAGGTACGGCGAAGATTTAAAGTTCATTTTGCATAATGGGCGAACGGTCAGGAACGGAAAAGCAAAATGCTTAATTCGTGATTTCCAAGTTTTTCTAAAAAAATTTCGGATAAAGTAAACATTTTGAACATGTCTAAAATTTAAATGAATAATTTTACTCATATATCTTAATTGTTTACAATTTTTCCGAACACATTAATGAGACGAATTAATTAGATTTACGTGCAATGAGCTGACGCTTATCACGCCGGTCGGAAACTTATCGATCCCGAAAAATCTGACGCGATATTGGACACTTCCTCCGACCTTAACCTTAAACCATTTACGTCTCAATTGTGACGAACTCGTCGTGAAGGAATAGGAGCGGCGCGACAAAGGAAGCGTCACGACGTTCGAGCACAAAGAACGTTCTTTTCACGGGGAAGCAGGCGCGACGGCCGGCCAACCCGCTGGCCAACCGACCGACCGCATTAGAATATATATACGAGGTGTAAAAAAAAAGGCGAGCACGAAAGTCGCGGGCGTGGGAAAGTCGGTCCTCGAGCGAGCCACCAATTAACACCAATTAGCGCTCATCTGCTCTAGGTACTGCCAAGCGAGCGGAGCTGACTTTACGTTTAGCGCGAGACGTCTGACTCGCCGCGGATTGGCCACAACATGCTCTTTGTACTGCAAAGATTGCATCATCGAGTATATTGCCTCTATACCGTCGAAACAAGAGAAACGTACTAGATAATCGTTATTCTTTTTTGATAGATTTAAAACCCTTTTAATATAATTAAGTTTTAAAATTTTCTAAATTCTTTGACGCGCAAAACTAACTCGCGCCAATCGATAGATGCTATGCATAACAATTTCGATTGCCGAGAAAGATTTATAAGCTTTAATTTCATGAATCATAATTGCGCAATTAATTATCGTGCACGATGTCAAAATTGGGAGAAGAATCAATCAGCAAGGAGTAACAGATTACTCGCGCAAGAAATAAATCAAGAAATAAATCGCTACACTTGGAAAAAATTTTTTATTATATTTGCAAGAAAATAGATTTCTTTGAATTTAATTTTCTTAATTCAAAGAAGTATTAGGTAGATTCGAGAAAATATTTTGAACTCAGAAAAATGTTTTTTTTTAATAATGCAAATAATACATTTTTTTTAATGTAGTGGAAATGGATCACTCATTGTTAGTCAGTTTGCATCCCGTTATCCAAAATTATTTTAATTTTGAAACTGTAATCTTTTCGCGACAATTTATATTTCCAAAAATATATTTAAGAATATATACACTTTTATCTAGATAAATATATTTAACAATATTAACTTGTCAACATGATATAAATTTTGAAATGCGCGTACAAGTTACACAGTTTTCACGGTTATCACTTCGCGAATACCGAAGTCGAGAACTTCGTGTTCATTGTCTAATTTCCGAGGATCGTCAAGTTCATTATACCGATGCAGACGCGTTTGCGAGCGTGAGCGCGAGCGCAAGCGCGCGCGCGAGACGCCAATGTGCGCGCTGATCTTTTTTTCGCCGGGACCGGTTCCATCAGAGGAACACTTCCAGCTTTCTACCATCGCATCGGCGGCCCGACTCCCGTGTAACCCCATCGGGTGCCAGCGCGCGGCTATACACGAAGAAACGGACGGTCGCGTCTTCCGCGCGCGGCGGCAGCAGCACGATTCGAATTTATTTATTGCATTAGCCGGCCGTCGCTCACTCACGGCGCTTGATTGGTGGGTACCAATCGGGTTCCCCTTTGCGAGCGAAGAGCAACACGCTGGCGGAGATAAGCCGGCTATATAAAGGACAAAACTGTCATGTCGATACTCGTGCAAACGGCGTTGTAATTATCCTGATTAACGGCTATTCTCTCAGTTTTGCATTATCACGCAGGGCATTATCAATGTATCGCTAATCGTTACAACAGGACTTACGGTAATACCCAAGTTCTAATCACGATGCTTTACGTATACCATTGAAGTTTATCCACATATAAGTATAATGTCGCACAGTATATGTAAATCATCAACTACCTACTGTATAATTTAAGAAACATGGCAATTTATATAACGCACTTTACACGGTGGTGAAACAGGAGGCGACACACACGCTGCGGCATCGTGTTCATCTTGTTTCGTTCAGATTTACATTACATCGGAATCGTTTTACACTATCCCGTTTTACACCGGAAGTTGTTTTCTACCGCATAGTTTCGCACGACGTATGCGCTTTCGTGTAACTCTCGGTTATGTAAGTCCCGAAGTCCTGAAATTGGTAACCTTACACTATCATATAATTTAAACCGCCCCCAAAGGTCAGCAGACGCTGTATAAATTTGCAAAAGCACCAGGCACCGAAGGTCCCACTTAGAGCCATGCCTGGCGAGGAATTATTCAAGCTGGGCAAGGGTTAATTGCTGCCTTCATCAAACCACCTCCCTTCCTCTTTCAAATGAGCCCTTGTCGTCCGTGACATCACCGTTCTGTATTTAATCCGATTTTGTTGCGTCACGGCAATGCTGGATCCGTAGACGAGGGATCCAAATAGATCCGTCAAAATATAAGAGATGATCTCGATCTTGATAAATGTACGTTCTTTTTTATAAAGATTTATTCAAATAATTATTTTTTACTAAATAAATAAAATAATATCTCTATGATTAAAATTAATAAAGTAAAGAGAATTTATATAAAATAATAAAAGCAACGAGACAGTTTTTAACCTGAACATTTTTATCGTCTACTTGTCGCTTTGTAGCTTTTGCAAAAAAAAGAATAATTTAAATATATTCTGTTACAGAGGCAATTCACGTTGATCTTGCAAGCGAGGGACGAGGTGAGCGCCGGCGTGATCGAGGAAGCGAGTTACAGCGGCATCGTCCTGCCAGGACCCACGTGGCACACACTCAATCATCAAGGAAGAAACGCTCACTTGGCGTATCGGGTGCGGGTCCAGTGCGCCGATCACTATTACAATGCGACCTGTACCAAATTCTGCCGACCTAGAAACGACATTTTCGGCCATTACACCTGCGATGAGAACGGGGACAAAGTGTGTATACAAGGATGGAAAGGCGTCGACTGCGAGACAGGTGAGTCTGACGATAAGTTTGCTCGACGACCAATTACTCTGGTTCATTGTTACATAGCCATATGTCACTTTATTTCGAATATGCCTAAACATTTAGATTAGTTGTAACGCTGAACTCAACGTTTTTGGGAAAATAATTATCTTTAATAAATTGTTAAATTACTTTTTACCGTCTCCAGATGGTAATTCTCCTTATCATGCAGGAATGCGCTGCAAGAAAGAGACGCAAAGAATTCCCTTAACATATTTCAGTATTAGCACCTCAGGTGTGCATCGACTTTAGAATGAATTATTGCTGATTAATCCCGCGTTTACCGCGCGCAAAACCACGTATTACCATGCGCATTATTAATTATACCGGACATGAGGTAACGTATAGGTAAAAAATATCTCCGTAAACGTATTCCTTGACCCTTCTCTGAATCCTTTCATAGAAAATGTTTTGTTGGTAAATTACTTTTATCAAAATATTATATAAAATCTTTATATGTACAATATATAGTCATATTTGATTTTTAATTCATTACATCTTGATTTTATAATACGCAGTAACATCAGTTTTCTTGATGATGCGAAAATGCGCGCTTTACACGAAATAAAAAAGAATTTGCTTAATTAACTCCGTCTGTATATGTGGGTCTACGGCGTCCGAGCTAAAATGATATCTGCTCGTAACTGTAAAACTTGTAAGCCTGCCAGAAAATATTAAATAAACAATATTTATCAAAATGACTATAAAATCATCAACTACAATGTAGACAGAAATTTTGTGAATTTTTTCAGATTATTTTTAAATATTTTACTAGGGTGCAAAAAAAGCGTATACAGACGGAGGGTTAATGAACTCGCTCATAGAATTTTCTTATCCAGGAGAACTTGTTCGCGATAGAAGATACATCGCGAAATTCGCACGCCATATTCCCGCTCGTCATCGTTATCATCTCGTTACGCCTAAGGGTCTTCGACCATATCGATAGCGTATATGCGGCACAAGCTGATTTTTTGCGTGCACCGCCGCGCGCCGCCGCGCCGGGAGAATAATTAATCGTTCATTGGAGCGTGAAATCTCACGACAGGACTTACCGCTTATGGGTGTCGTTTAACTCGATTTCTCACACACGCATGTGCACCTCTCAGCTTAACGAGACTTGCAAATCGATTGCGGGTCATTAGTAATCATTGTAATGATCAAAACGTTGGATAATATTGAAAATAAAAAAAGGTCAATTTTTATCTAAGAGTCCTATCTTGCACCTGCTTTTGTGGAATCCGTAAATGACAATCGAGATAAGCGACATTATGAGCGATATTACAGTGCAATGAACTTGACGATATCTTGATCTTAAATTATAGTATTAGTTTCTTTTATCCTGAAAAATATTTATTGAGGACTTTGGGTATAATATTTTAAGACTTGAGTAATTCATGAAAGGCTATACAGACACGGAAACGAACGGCACAAAAAAGACCCCCGAGGAACCTGACGGCAGAAACGGAAGGACGAACGAAACTGCCCTCCACGTTCCGCGATTCCTATCTTTATTTCTACCGTTCCGGATTCTCGTCCGTTCCTACGGGGGAACGCAATTCCGTCACGTCCGCGATTTAGCGCGCAGGAAGTCGCCGCGGCGAGTCGAGCCCGAGAGAGGAAGATGAGCGCCGCCGCGCCGCCGTGCGTGGTCCCGTATGGATCGTAAAACACGCGAATTATCCCGGAGCGTGCCTCAATGAGGCGGACGTTAGACGCATGTCGTACGATCGCCACAAAGGTAGCGACACATCACGCCAGGTCCAGTCGCACAATGCTGCGCCGACTAATATAACAGCTCTTTCTTCGCTGCTTAATCGTTACTTCCGCCTCGCCGTGACCGCTCCGTGGTTACTGTCATCCCTTCCTCTTTGTAATGGGGGGAGGGGGGGTACAAGCGCATGCATAAGGTCGATCACAAGCGGACCGACCGCGACGGACGACTCGAGGAGACCCCGGAGACCGCATTCATTTGACGATTCCGGCCGTTAGATAGATACGTGAGTCCCCTTTCTGCACTCCGGCATTTAAATCATGCCACTCGTTTTCAGAACAGTCCGCGACATTTGCACGATATCGTGACACTATCCAGGGCTGTTGTCGAGTCAAGATGTGAATGAAAAAAAAAATGGGTGTAGAGTTTTTATTTTTATTTTTATTTTTTGATATAAATTCTTTCGAATAGATATACAATTTTTTGAGACTTTGAATCTTATTGTTAGTATCGAAGCGTTATAAATTAAGAAGTCGCGAGTCAAATATATGCACACATATGTATATGCATTATTATTTTATTACTAAATAAATTTTGGGATGTTATAAGACTGCGATAAAATCGAGATTCCGTCATGCGCTGCGCTCAAAAAATAATTTGCTTTACCTAATCATTTCGCAAGTTTGCACGCTGACGATATTATGCCGAAGGAATTTAAATAACATACGTTTACTTCGGCAACGCTGCTCGTTTTCCTTGGCACTATGAACTTTGAGATTCTACTGTTTGATAATCAGCGGCCACGATCATCTCGGGCCGCTACTCGATAATCCGCTTCCTGCGCATATCAAACACGTGCGACGGCGATACGACACTTTCGTTTCATAGCTTCAAGTAAACGTCTCATCTCGTCAAAAGATCGAATCTTCTTGACAAAAAGTTTCTCCCGTTTAACGACGCGGAAGGATCGAGTTATCGTTTTGAGCACGTTCTACTTAAGCGGACGGAAAAATGCGCAAACCCCAATTAGAAACTATCGGCGAAGATCGCGTGTTCGTGCAAGAAGCGATGAGACGCGAGTCTCGGCTACGAGAAAAGATAGAAGGAAAGAGAAAGAGAGAGAGAGAGAAAGAGAGAACTGGCTCCGACATTTTTGTCGCGATGTGAAAGGTCAATAGGAGAATTTCACTCGTGCATCGTCTTCACACGATGCGCCAACCTGGTCGCGCGCGATAGAGGTAAAATCTCTACGCCAAGCGCATACATGGTGCTCCTTTAACATTTGGCGGCCGCGAAAAGGGGTTTCGCAGGTGTGCAAGTTATAAAAACATCGCACCGTTTGCATAACGACAATTGATACGTGGTGATAGAATTAGACCGAGAGAAAAATTCAGAAAATTAATAACGTTTCTACCTGTGCGTTATTCATCGTCGAGGGACGAGTCTTTATCTTGCACGCGATAAAAATATAATTACACTCTAGGAGAGAGAGGGTCGCATCACGACAATGACCCTCTCAACGCACGGATTACCGACGGACGAGGATAAAAATTTTTCTCGCGACGCATGCAACCACGGGTTGAATTTTCCTGGAAAACGCTTCCGCGTGAGCGGTCATAGTCGCGCGCGTACAAAGTACGATCGCGCGAAAAATCGCGGACCGCCGGCGCCGCGCCGCGCCGCGCCGCGCTGGGTCCGGCAATCCGCCTCTCTTCGCGCAGCTGTTCCGTACGCAAAAAGGCGTGTACGATGCGGAAAAAGGAAGAGAGAGAGACGCTTCGCGCAAGTTAATTTACCTAACTGCCGGCGTATTAATCAACCGCGAGCCGTAGGCATATACGAGTAGCAGCGCGCGATCGTTTCAACCCAGGGGGGATTTATAGTTTCTAAACTGTGCGAAAGGACTGCGCGCGGGGCACCGCGAGAGAGTCCCCGGAGATTGTAAAAGCACGCGGGGCAAGCCTTGATTAGCTCGATCCTCTGACGGAAGACGACGATGACGACGATGACGACGACGACGACGACGTCTACGTTAGCATATGCAGGCACCGCGTCTCGCGGGAATCGCGAATGGTGCTGCAGCGCGGCAAGAAAAGGCTGTCGCGAATGCATCGTCATTTAGGGGGCCCCGAAGTATCGCGATGCAGTCGTATAAATATCCGTAAATGTCCGTTGTCCGTGCCGGACGAGAGAGCGGGGCTATTAATCATTAGGAATGCCGCGGGCGGTATATGCGCCCGCGTGTATACGCGCGAACGTATCGTACGCGTGTACGATAATCGCGTATGCACGGTAACGGTAAAGGTGTTGGTATACGCACGGCCGACTGAAATCCCGAAAAGGCATACATACGTACGTACGTGCACACTAGCGAGCGCGCGGCATGAGTTTTCGTTTCACGGTTGGAGGGATAATCCTTCTCTCTGTCACTTCTCATCTGTCTTTCTGTCCCACCGGCTAATTGAGTTGCCCGGTCCCGGCGAGATCCCCGTCACGTACGTCCTCTTTTCCCCGCTGTTTCGTATTTTTTTTTTCATCCTGACGGGAGGACGGGGAAGAAACCGAGTTGTCATCGTCGCCGCGTCTTCGGCGCGCCTCGTCGGTTTCGGGGATACGGTACCCTGGCAACGCCATTAGATTTTCTCGTCCAACTACCTGTTACTTCGGTACGTCCTCTCATGCCTAGTAATCGAGATATCCGGTAAGAGATATCTGATAATCGTGCGTATCCCTTCTTTGAGAAACGTAGAAAATGTCTCTCATCGGCCCTTCCGCGTTCGTCTCGACGCGTATATACACTCGTTTCGTTCATTACATCTCCGCTAATTACGTTTGCCCCGACTCTATGACTGTTACGTGTCGCATGTCGCGCACGGAGGACGAACAAGAGACTTAATCCGTCTACGTCACCATCCACAAATGTCCGTGGACATCTCGAGAGAGAATTTTTTTCGAATTTCTCGTTCAATAGCTACGTGTGATCGATGAGTAAAACTTGGATCTCTTGAGAGTACGCAAAGTATATTAATCTTCCCGATACAGTATATTACTAATTACTTGAATCTTATTTATAACGGTTGGAAAGTAAACGAATATAATGGAGAAGTGTTAGACATCTGAAACTGCGCTGGAGTTGCTACAAAATCGTTATTAACCCTCCAATGGGTCCAGTGTTTTCTGTTTAATATATTATTCATTGTTGTACAAACCTTAAAGTATATTAACAGGTTGAAACTTTAATTTTAATGAATACAGAACACTCTTCTTTTTCAAGTTGTTGTGGAATATAAAATACACCCTATACGCGTCCACTGGAGGGTTAATGACATTGTTGGAAATTATTGCGAATTAGAATCTCAAACGTTCCGAATTGATCGCGACGATGGCATGTGATTTGTCGTGTAATTGTGCAAAAATCATTTCAGCCGTATGCAAGGAGGGCTGTCATCCCGTGCACGGCCACTGCAACGTCAGCGGCGAGTGCCAGTGTCGGCACGGCTGGCGCGGCGAATTGTGCGACCAGTGCATGCCTTATCCCGGCTGCAAGCACGGCTACTGCAACGGATCGAGCTGGCAGTGCATCTGCGACACGAACTGGGGCGGGATACTGTGCGACCAGGACCTCAACTACTGCGGTACCCACGAGCCGTGCCAGAACGGCGGCACGTGCGAGAACACCGCGCCCGATCAGTACCGGTGCACGTGTCCGGAGGGCTTCTCCGGGCCCACCTGCGAGAAGGTCGACAATCCGTGCGCGTCCAGCCCGTGTCTGAACGGGGCGATCTGCCGCGAGCTCGGCGAGACCGCGCAGTGCGAGTGCGCCCCGGGCTTCGCCGGGCCGTTTTGCGCGACCGACATCGACGAGTGTGCCTCGCAGCCGTGCCAGAACGGCGGTACCTGCGTGGACGGCAGGAACGGCTTCGTCTGCAACTGCCCGCCCGCCTGGCAGGGCGTGCTCTGCCAGTTCGACGTGGACGAGTGCACGCTCAAGGAGTCGCCCTGCAAGAACTTCCTTACCTGTATCAACCTGGCCGGCGATTACAGGTAGGTACCGCTTGCCTTTATCGTCAATTATCACGAATTCGTGGAAGATCTTTCAAAAGCGGGGTCTTATCTTTTCAATATTGATGAATGTCCAAGTTACATTTAAAGTAAATGAGAAATCAAGCTCGAATATATATCAAATATTATAAAGTGATTAAATGACAAATAAAACGAGCAAATAGATGTTAAAAGATTAAATTAATATATCAACGTTAACAAAAAAATGGGACGTTTCAACTATTTCTTGCGGATATTGCGTTGGTTTACGATTTTCACTTTATTACTTTCTATTGTTGCTTTTTATTATGTTTTATTAACTGATTTACTTTCATTCCTAATTTATTTATGGCTTTCCAAAGTATCATTGTTCTTAAGTTTCTAATCTTATTTATTTATCGCTCTTTATTGAGTTTGGTTTTAAATTTAGAATTTTTCTATTTGGCTGATGAAAGTCTCAGTGTAATTGAAACATTCTACTTTTGTATTGAAGGTAATATATTAATTACATTTTTTAACATTTATTTTTGCTCGTTTATCGGCTCTTAATCGCTTTAAAGTTACATTTCTTATGTCCCATGTATTCGACTAGAAGAACTATATATGTTAAGCGACCAGTAAACGCATTTATTACCCATAAACGCTATTAATTAATAACATACGATAATTATAGAAGAAATGCAGAGATATCGAAATTTATGTTATTATCATAAGTCGTATATATTATTAACAGGTTTGACGTAAATATACAGCGCTGTTTGAAGACAAGTTGACATTATTGCAAGCTTGAGTTTCCGTCCAGTCTTTCTATTTTTTCGAATCACAGTGCGTTACGTACAAATTACAGGTTTCCCACGGACGATATAGTTATTAGAAATTAAGTCGTTATAGACCATTTCCCTCCGTTCTCCACAGCACGAGGCGTTAAATAATATACCTATACAATAAATATAAATGCGTTTTTGTCATTTGACTTACTACCCGCTTTACTACCTCCGTCGTTCGTAAAATAACGCTAACGAAGAAAAAAACCGTGTTTCAGTTGACTGCGTTAAATGTGATTTAAGGATTCATTAATCTTCTGCAAAACAGGCGAACAGTAATTAATAAACTCAACAAGCCAAATTATATTCGGATCTAACCGAAGTTCCCGTCTAAGCGATTTTCTCGCAAGTCGCAACCCCAACCACTTACAAGTTTTATCGTTTCGGTTCGTTTCGCAGGTGCCGATGCCGGAGCGGGTTCACCGGCAAGAACTGCACGAAGAATATCAACGACTGCGTCGGCCAGTGCCAGCACGGCGCGCTCTGCATCGATCTGGTGGACGATTACCATTGCAGCTGCACTCCCGGCTACTCCGGCAAGGACTGCGACGTTGACATCGACGAGTGCGCGTCCAAGCCGTGCCAGAACGGCGGCGAATGCCGCGACCTGGTGAACGCTTACGAGTGCGTATGCCCGGTGGGCTTCACCGGCTACCAGTGCGAGATCGATCGCGATCATTGCAGCCCAAATCCATGCCGCAATTCGGCGCCGTGTTTCAACACGCAGACCGACTACTATTGCCACTGCCCGGCACAGTGGCAGGGTAGAAACTGCTCGGAGTCGGTTTCGCATAATCCGCAATTCGGCGCGTTGGACGACGGGCAGTCGGGCTGCGGCAGCGAGGGCACCCCGTGCGGCGGTAAGGGTCGCTGTAGCGGCGGCAGATGCATCTGCGACCCGGGCTACACCGGCGTCCACTGCCACGAGAACATCAACGACTGTCGCGGCAATCCCTGCCTGAACGGCGGCACATGCGTCGACCTGCTTAACTCGTTCCAGTGCATCTGCAGGGAGGGCTGGAGCGGGGATCTTTGTGACCAAAGTAAGTAACGGAACACTCGAAAAGTGCTATAGAATGAAAGTTGATCAAATTGGACTCGATATAATGTGTAATTGATAAATGAATTCTTCCAGATGTGGACGAATGCTTGACACAGCCTTGCCGCAACAATGGTACCTGCATGGACGGCGTGGCAGATTTCACGTGTATCTGCCAGGGTGACTGGAAGGGCAAGACCTGTGCGCTGCGCCGCGGTCACTGCGAGCCGGGCACTTGTCGGAACGGCGGTACCTGCCAGGATCGTGGCGACGGTTTCACGTGTCACTGTCCACGCGGATGGGAGGGTGCAGCCTGTCACATCGCGTCGCCGTCGGCGTGCACGAGTAATCCCTGCGCGAACGGCGCGACCTGCGTGAACACGGTCGACGGTAGCTACCGATGCGTCTGTCGCGAGGGCTTTGAAGGGCCGAATTGTCGGCGCAACGTGGACGACTGCCAGCCAGTGCCGTGCCTGAACGGCGGCAAATGCGTGGACGGTGACAACTGGTTCAGATGCGAATGCGCGCCCGGCTTCACCGGGCCGGATTGCCGCATCAACGTGAACGAATGCGCGAGCGATCCGTGTACCGGCGGTGCTACCTGCGTGGACGGCATCGCGAGCTACTCGTGCATCTGTCCGCCCGGTAGAACCGGTCCGCGATGCGAGATCCGAACGGCCGGTGGGCCCGGCTGCGCGGCCGCCTCGTGGGAGGATGACTGCAACGTATGCGAATGCCGGAATGGCAAGAATCAGTGCAGCAATGTCTGGTGCGGACCGGGCAACTGCCTGAACGGCACCTCTTGCTTGGCCCACGAGGTCTGCGTTCCTAGTCCAGGCGAGAGTTGCCTGGCGCCGCCGTGTCCGGCGTGGGGCGAGTGCCGTCCCATCGAAACTGGGAGGCGAGTCGGCCCGCCCGCGCTACCAGCTCCGCCGTCCTGCTGGCCCGGACAATCCATTCTCGGGCCAACTTGCTCGAGACTTACGATACTACTGCGGAGGGACACCTTGGCGTCCGGCACGTCGGTGGAACTACTATGCCGTCGTCTGAGGAAGCTCCTGGCCGATCCACGAAGGCCACAGTCGGTGGTGCTGCTGTGCGATCTGAAGCCCGGTGACAACGACACGGTGGAAGTGACCATCTTCTCCGAAGCGGCGGCGGACGCGGCCCGCGATCTCGGCGAAACCCTCAGTCGCCCGCTAGCCAGGCCTCTCGTTTTGGCCTCCGTGCTGGAGGTCAAAGTAGAGACGGCGTTGCTCAGCGAGCCCAGTTCGGCGAGTGCGGCTAATGCCGGCGGCTACGTAGCTGTTTTGGGCGGCGCTCTGGCGACCGTGCTGTTGTTGGCACTATTTGGTAGCCTCTGGTACCTCAAAACTATGAGGCACAGATCGAACCTGACGGCGACTACCAGCAGCGAGACCTCGTTGCACCGCCATCGTAGCGATCTGGACGAAAAATCCAACAATCTCCAGAACGAGGAGAATCTGAGGAGATACGCCAATCCACTGAAGGACCAGGATTCCGAGCCTCGTGTCTCCGTCGTAAGGCCTTTGTCGGGCACTTCGCTCGGCACGTTGACCGGCACCGAGGAGAGTCTTGAAATGGTATCTGAGGAAGGTAGACATCGTTTACCACCGCTCTACAAACCGCCCAGCGCGGAAGCCAGGAACAATACGGCCAGTTTTAGCTACGAGGAAGGACCGCACAAACCTTATAGCAAGCCCAGACTGCAGGAACCGCATCCGTACCCTCATCAGCAGCCAGGTACCAGTCAGAGCCTGACGTCGGGGCCGCATCAAGTGCTAACGGTACACGTGTGATTAAATATCATTAAAATAATATGAAAAACAATTGGACAGAAGTGTCGGTGATTTTCTTGACTTTTCTTGCGTATGCGATGCACTAATAAAAATTCTTAGGAACTAGAAGGTAATGCTAGAGACTGAATGCTTACTTGGACGATCTGTTTTTTGTGATAATGGGAAATGTGTCGAAATCGACTCTCGATTTCGAGATAACTTGAGACGGCTCTCTCCTGAGGTTCTTCTTTTATGAAAGTAGAACCAGAATGTATTAGGGACAAATGCAGAGAAAAAAGAAGAGAGAGAACGCATTCTTATTGGGCTCAGCAATACGATTATGTTATAAGATAACGCATAAATTTTTAATGCCTTTCCGAAGCGCATCTTTTTAGGATCGCTTCATTCATAGTATTATTAGAATATGGCTATAAAAATTCTCAATTTCTGAATAATTGTACAACAATATTAACACGATTTTCAGATAGCAAATTTAGAAAACGATTAAAAATTTATATTCTCTCTTTTTCTCCTTGTCCGGCCCTCTCGCGCTTCTCTATACGACGACAATAAGCGATTGACAATTATAAATAATTTTAATGATAATGATCAGTTGTTATCGTTGTACATATGTACATAGCTCGTACTTATTAATTTCGCTAAGCCTGTCTCTCCTTCGCATCCTCTTCGGCGTTGCCATTCCTCCCCCTTTGTACGCGCCTTGATTTTATATGTTTATATTTAATCTTGTACTCTTTTGATATTATCATGTATCGTCGTTAGTATTTTTTATTTTCATAATTTGAAAAATAGAATGGCACCGTCGCACCTACGAGATGTATTGTACATTCGTCATGTATAATTGTCGAAGCGAAGCTGCGTTTCATTCAAGATCAAGAAGATACATAAACGTAAAGTATAAATAAATTTGACGAAAAATACGAGAGTTTCTATAGGTATCATTTGGGACTTATTTGCGACTGATACATCGCGCAGACAATCGCTCGATTATAGTACGTGAAAGTGTGCTTTGTATGATATAACGTGGGCTTCAAACGTTCCTTCAGACGATATTATTGTGATACTCATAGAGGAAACAACGTCATTGTATAGCATTACTATGATACTCCGCGTGTTCATTTTACTTCAACACTTGCTCGAGTTTATTTTTCTTTTCGCGAAGACACGACACGTGATTTTTACGCGAATGAGAGATACTGCCATTGCGAGAGGATGTGCTATACACGATACGCTAAATCGCGACGGCACATTTGACTTGTAAAGAACATATATTAGCGGCATAAGTGTAATACAATTTTAGAACGTACTCGAACGCAGAGTAAAAACGAACGATGTACATAGTGACGCTATTGCATCGTGGAACGATGTAAATAAATCTAAATACACATGTCCAGATCGTTCTCATCCCCAGTCATTATTGACCCTCCGCCCTTAGATGTGCAATTCGTTTTCTTTTTTTTTTTTATACTAGCGTTTCCCATATGCCCCAGCGAAGTGTCCACAACAGACTAGTTTAAAGTTAAGAAGCGTAGCTCGTTTTAGGAGTACATAGATTTACAGCAGGAAGGAACAAAGTTTTATAATAGATACTTTATTTTGTAGAGAAATATATTATTGTACGAATACATATAGATGAGAGTGAGAGACGATGAATATATATAAATATATATATAAATATATATATTATATATTATTTTATATATTATATATTATATTATTTTTATTTTATTGTCTCGTATTAATTATTTCCAGATCATAAGCAATAGTTGATCATTGTCATATAATTTTTTTTGTTCACTCTCGTCGGCTTCGAAGCGAAGCCGACGGCGGTAAAAATTTGTCAAACTAATGCTTTTGGTCTAATCGACGATAAACAATATAAAAAAAAACATTCACGCGTTGTGATTATTCGTGTTTGATATCGAGAAATGTGCAAACGAATGCGTGTACATAAGCTCCCTCCTATTACCCCTCTCCTCTCCCCTCCCTCCCCTCGCATAGATTTGACGATGTGAAGGATTTCAATAAAAAGTACAACTCTTCGACGTGGCGTCTACTATTTATTATACCCTTACATCAAATGCGTCGATGACAACGCGACGCGTAATAAGCATTCCCGGCATTGAAATCACTGAGAGAGAACAGTTTTTCTTCTTGTTATTTTATCAGTAAAACAAGGGAGAATTGATGATGAGAAAAGAAAGATTAAATATCCTCAATAGAAGTTAATATGTATATCCGAAATAGAAGTTAAGGAACATTTTATGTAGATCGACAATTAATCTATTTCATGTTATCTGCAAATCAAATTACTACGTAATTAAATTCCCCATTTGTAAATTCCACAATAATTTACAATTAATTAACAAAGACTTTTTTATATATTTTTTAAAATTATTTTTGCAAAGAGTAGAGAAGCTTGATTTGCAAAAATTTATGATAAAGTTATCAAATTATCTTTATTGTTCGCTAGCCAATTAAGAAGTCATAAATCCATTCGCTTCTCTTATAGATACGGGCGGCGGATTTTATCAGCGGCGCCGATTTCAATGGCCCGTCACGATTGTTTCATTAGAGATAATACCCGATGCCATTACCATCGAAAGCGCGGCTGAGATTAACAAAGCGAGACGCGCCGGGTCTCCTCTCGTGTACGAAGCACGTACCGCTGAATGAACGATCTGCCGAAATTACAATACAATGGACCAGAAGAGCCACTTGACAAATACCCAGTAGATGAATCATGCACCCTGCGATGAGCGATTGCGGCTCGTGTGAAACGCAATACTGACCGCCGATCGACGCCGATGAAGATGACTTCTTCCGAGCGAACGATAGTTATAATATTCCAAAGACAAAGAACTTATTCATTATAATATACAATTTTATAACTTTTATTTAATTTCTGCGAATCTGCAGCTAATTTCACACAGCGACCTGTTGCAAATTTAGAAATCATATTATGTCTTGATACGATGATATTTATATTTATACAAGCTCTCGGTATATCACCAATTTCGTGAACGAGTAAGAAGTATACAACTCGTAAAAATGGATCTCATACAAGTATTTAAAACTTTAAACCATAGCGATTGTCTTGAATTGTCTAGAATGTCCCGATATACTTTCTTCTTTGCGACTGACAGAATAAAAATATGCTAGAACAATTTTCGTGCATTCTGTATTCAAAATAAATTTGCATGTCGAAATAATAATTAATGGATAGCGATTGAGATATAATTATAAATAACCTTCTATAAGTCCATTGAACATTGCTCAGACATTAGAAAATATAGAAGATGTTGTCGAACCATTGCAAAATGAAGAAACGGATGCGTGGACCGAATATGATGAAGATGATACTGAATATGATGAGGATGATATTATGGAAGAGGAAGAGAAAGACATCAAAACGGAGTCAGAAGAGGAGTCTGAAGCCATGGAAGAGAAAAGGAAAGACGTCGAAGCGAAATCAGAAATAATCGATGAGACTGACATATTTGCTAATTTTATGATGGAATTCGAGGCGAAAAGGACGAAGGAATTGGCGATCAAGGCTGAAGAGGAGAAGAAACAGCTGCGGCATCTGATCCGTGTAACTTGAGCGTGGTAACTTGGTAGCTTAACATTTCAGTAACATATATACAAAATGTCCTGTATTTTTCGACATTTCGATGTTCTCAGTTCGATCTTATTAGATATGTCGCGATCCCAATAATTAAGCTACCGCAATGCAAATAAATGACAGGGCCGATCTGCCTTTAACTTTGGGAAACTCTAGTCAAGTGCTACGATGTACAAGGTAGGTTGAACGGAAGAAAGACGACGATGCGTCTGAGGAGACGGTGATCACGCCGGAAGACGAAGATGTCACCAGTGACAGAGTATCCACTGAGAGTTCGATTCATCCATGTTTGCGCGAGATATACATCAGCGATTCTCAGCTGAAATTAGTGAATCCGTATACGGTGTATATGGTGCCGAACGATCCCGGATTGCTGCCGGCTTTCTGGCTGTTACGCGAACGCCCGCCGATTTACAGCCCGGATGGCGTGCAGAAATTCTACGACACAGCAAAACGCATGGGTTTGAGACCGATCGGCCCGTTGAAGGATATGCTCATGACCGATTACCTAAATCTGCGGTATTATGGATTCGGGTCGCCGGTAATGAGAGTGATCTGCGACGCTTTGGCCGACAACACTTTCGTGCGGAAACTGGATCTGAAGGTGCGATAAACAAGCTTGACAATTTATACGAATTGCATAAAATCCTAAATATCCTCAAAATACTACGAAAATAGTGATTATCTGTTTGAAATTTGTCTACAAATTGGAAACAAGTTCTTGAACTTTTGGCATTGTGATACAAATATATTACTTCGCGTTGATTAATAAAAATATCTTTTTTTTTTTTCAACTAATCGGTATATTTCATTACAGGATAATAAACTGTCCGCGGACGCGTGCCGACATCTAAACGATTTACTACTCAGAAACAACACGATAACCGACTTGTCACTATCGGGTTGCCGAATTGGCACGAACGGCGCAAAAAACTTGTCCGACGCGATATCGGAGAACACAACCCTGAAGACCCTCGATCTCAGCAGCTGCAACATCGGGAACGAAGGCTTCGGATACGTCGCGTCCGCGTTATCTGATAATCAAGACTTGGAGAGCGTTAATCTATCCGACAATCAACTGGATAAGGCGTGCTCGGAAAATCTGCGGGATCTGCTGTCCCACTCGAAAGGCTTGATGCATCTGGACCTATCCTGGAACTCTCTGTACGATGCAAAAATATGGAGAGCTCTGGTCGATGGGCTCAAGAAAAATGCGACACTGCGTTCCCTGAATTTATCTTGGAATGCACTTGATAAAGAATGTGTGCCTCATCTTTACAAACTATTATCACGCTCGCGGAACATCGAGAAGCTGGATTTAAGCTGTAAATATGTATCACGTTATAAGAAAGAACGTTTTCACGCACAATTATAATAGAAATAAAAGAAGAATTTTTATAAGAGATAAGCTTCCTTATTTAAAATCGAGATAGCTCAACTTTCTCAAAGTTCGTGCACATTCCATTATGTTTTTATGATATATAAAATTTAAAATCGAAATAGAAAGTATCTTAAAATATGAACGTCTAACAATCAGTTGAAATATTTTCATCATATTTTGAAATAAATGCCAAAGACAAATGCTATTTTATTTTTTGCGATTCGTAGGGAATAGATTTACCGAAGACGATGCTGTAACCATCGCAAAAGCTCTTTCGAAAAACAGTACGCTCCAAGAATTACGCCTGGGAAACAACCCTTTAAGAGCACAAGGTGCTTCAGACCTAGTTCACGCGATCACTCCGCAGCTATCACCCGACAGTGCTTTACGCCTCCTGGACTTGGAGAACGTTTGGGCGAGTAAGGATGTTCTTCACAGCTTGGAGATGATCAAAAAGCTCAGACCGTGGGTCGCAGTCAAGTTGGGTGGTATTCTAAGCAATTATCAGCTCGTTGGGCCGAACGTCAGGAGAATACTTCTGAAAAGAGCGAATTACGAAGCGATGCTGCCGAAACGAAAGAGGCTGCGACGCAACTTTGGCCTCTTCGTGATGTCGCTGAAAGACAAAAAAATATCGCGAGGCACGTTCGCGAGAATTTATTTCGGATTCCTTCTTAATTTACAAAAAATTATGATCTTTTGTATCTTTAAAAAAATTAAAAACAAATTTCCTCCTTTTTGCAGAAAAATTTATGGAGTTAGTTCATAAGTTCAAACTGAAGCTTTCGACGTCGCTCGTCGATGAGATTATGAATGCATTCGAAGGGCCGCATAACACTGTCGATCAAGAACTGTTAAAATCATTCTATTTAGAAGAGCACCCGGAAACGACAACTGCATTATTAAAATTGAAGAAAAGAAAACTTAAGACCGCCAAATAGACAAAAAAAGAAAGCAGAAAGTGAGACAAACAAAAAACAAAAAAAAATACAAGAAATATAAAAACTAATATTGGAGAGGATTAAATATAAATAAAAAAATATTTGGAAAAAAATGGACATTATATTATGTAATAAATGATCGAAAGAGAATCTCCTTATAACACTATGTTACACGTTTTTACAGTATAGATTACACCATCAATATCATTTTGCAAAAACTTGTCAAGCACTAATTTCTGCATTTAATGAGGTAAAGAGTATCGACATCCAAATTAAATTTAATCTATATAAAATATTCTCGCTGCGATATCATCAACAATCCAATTAATACCGTCGACTAGATTCTCACCCGTCACGGCGGAGCACTTGTAAATTTGCCAATGGTGAGTCTTTATATTAGGTAGCTCCAGAATGTCGGCTATGTCAGCTGCAGACAATGCGCCAGGCATATCCTGCTTATTCGCGAACACAAGGAGACTCGCTCCCTCCAGCCTCTCCTCTTGCAGGAGCTTGTACAGCTCTGTTTTACAATCATCCAGTCTCCTTCTGTCCGCGCTGTCTATCACCCAGACAAGCCCGTCCGTCGACTCGAAATAATTTCTCCAGTAGGAACGCAATGATTTTTGTCCACCTACATCCCATACGTTGAGTTTGTATCCGCGATGTTCCAGTGTCTTGATATTGAAACCAAGCGTAGGCGATATGGTGTCTATTGGTTCGCCATTGAGCCTCTTCAACACTGTCGTCTTGCCTGCATTATCCAGGCCCCTGAAATTGTAATACGGCGTTGTTGAAAAGGCAAGTGACGAAACGCATGTATTTTCAAATTATTGTCCTCAATTATTTGACGCGTTTTAAGTTCAGAGAGTTAGCGTAACACTTATTAACCTGCCAACGCGTAAACTAACCACAGGCTGAATATATAAAATAGGTACACAAATGTGAATACGTACAACATTAAAATTCGCATCTCCTTTTCCTTTTGCTTCAATTTTTTCAGCACCGTTAATAGACCCATTGTCAATCCATTAATTTATTTAATTACTCCACAATGTTCAGATCGCTGACGGATAAATGTTTTAAATGCGCGTGAAATTTCGCCGAGCTTGACAGAAACGTCTCTAACCTCCAACAGTTTTATGTTATTAAACAAGTTGGCCAAGTTGCGCTTGCGCGCACAAAGCGCCACAGATAACATCGTGCACCGACGGGCAGACGAGGTACCATTAAAGACGACCCTGCTGGGTAAATCATTGCAATTATCAAGCAAGACCGATAAGTAGTGTTGTACATTATAATTATTACATTGTAAAGTAAATTGTAAGAGAAATAAAATAAATTATAGAAATGTGAAAAAAACGTATTGTAAATAAAAGAAAACCGCCGATCGGAATCGGCGGGGGTGGTGGAGGGCCTCTATAGGTTGACTTGTTTCTAGCGAATGTTAGTTAAAATCTAAGATAAAAACTAATATTTAATTTATAACTAAGAAAATGCAAAGTCCAAAATGCATTTAATCGCAATGACATTCGGTACAAGCAGGACGGCCTTTAAAAATATTGCTTATATAGAAAAACGGAGAGTCGAGAGATAGAAAGGTCGTGTAAAAAATTATGAGTAAAGAAATATGAGATTAATACGAGTTGACACAAATATAATTCGGGAGGAAGAGAATGCATATTTTATTCACACTAAATTTCATTACAATATATGCATGCGTATTCTATTTAAAGTGGTCAGATTCATGGCTAAATTTTCTGTAAATTTCCTATAAAATACCAGCACGACTGACCGTCGACATATCTATAATTCTTAGAGGTACACATACCACTCATACCAGTAATAAAAAAGATTGGTATTGTTTCACATACAATGTCACATATATAAATTATATACATAAATTTATATAAACTTATATAAATTTATTTATATAATTAAATTTATAGAAATTTAATTACAGATTATATTAATGTCTTTCTAACAATACTTTCGCTGCTTTATCAATAAGCAATTTCAGCAATTTAGTTAAAATTAAATATACATGTGTATTCTCGTGAAAATAGTTAAAAATTTACAGCTAATTTTCTGCAAATGTCATGTAATTATAAAATGCCGACATGACACTGACCGTTGACATATCTGAATATATGATACCAATAACAATAGAAAAGATTGATATTATTTCACATACAATTCACATTTATATAATAGAGATAGAAATTCAATCCTTGCAGATTATATTAATAATGTCTTTCTAACAATACTTTTGCTGCTTTACCAATAACCTCTGGATGACATAAGGCATTGACAAGAGATTCGAAGAATGAATCATACTGAGGATTAGGTATATAATCTCCAGATGCGCTTGTTTCTTCCGACGGATACTTCTCCTTGTCTCTTTTCCGTCTTTCTTCAATAAATTCTTTAAATTTATGTTTCTCAACATCAGGTAACAACTTAATGTAATACGGATATTCCTCAGCTAATTCTGTTGCGGTCTGTAGTTTAGGTTTAGGTCTTTTTGCAGGTATTTTTGGAACCGGTTCCGCTTTCTTCTCCTCCTCCATTTCTTGCGTGAGTTCAAGAACAGCGCATTCGACCTATTGAGATAGAAAGATTATAAATTAAGCAAATCCTGTGTATATTTAATTAACAATATTGATATTTCTTAGAAGTAATTACTTCTGTTGTATAATATGTAGTTATCTTATTCGGAAACTGATTATAGTCTCCCATCTTGGCTATTATCAATTTAACCAGAGCTTCCTCGACTCGTGCTCTACTATCTGTTTTCAGTTTTCCCCATATATTAACGCTGACATTGACTTGATCTAAAGATTCCACGTAATGCCACCATCCATTAGGCACAAATAAAACATCTCCAGGTTCTAGAGTTATTAATTTCGGTTTGTCTGGTATTTCTAACAACCAATCCTTTTCCTCTTCGCTCAGACAATAAATATTAAATCTGCTGTATACGGTTGACTCCTCGTAAGGAAGTCTAACTGGTATCAGAGGAGCGCTAGGTGGATAAAGCAACCATTGTTTTCTGTGAATGGAGAATAGGCGTAATATATAAACAGTTACTAAGACAAATAACTGAAGAATACAATATATTTTTTATACAAACCTGCCGTATACTTGTGCCACTAAATTGTAACCATAGGTATCCCAATGGCAATCAGTGTGAGAACCTTTGCTTCCGACCCAAATAGTGGAATGCATTCCATTTTTCCCAAGTTCCTTGTCAATTCCAAACTTGAGCCAATTGAAGGACTCTACAATTTCCACGTTGTCGCTGAGCCACTCCTTTATATGCTTGTAATCACAGTAATGCCATGTATTGTTCTGCTTTGTTCCTTGTAAATCAATAAATTCTTGCAGCGTTAATTGAACAGGCTTCGCAGGAGGACTCAAGCACCAATGATGATGCTGAAGATTACACTAATGGAAACGAGAATCGAATAAAACTATTAATAAAATTATCAGTCAATAAAGTTATTAAAAGAATGTGTATGCAGACGTTATTATCGTTACAACTTACCGTACGCTTGTTATGATTCCCAACTCGAAATGGCAACTTCTTATCGCCAAACTTTTCGACCAATTCCTCTAGGTTCCACTGAAGTAATTTCCATTCATAGGAACCATCCGAATTTTGTAACATATTTTGAAACAGTACAGGTTCATCGAGTTTCGGTAGAACGTCTCTCAGAATATCTTCCAACGGTTGTAAATAGCGACTCATTTTTAACCGTCTTATAAGATATAAACTTTAAGTTTAATCACTTTTCCTATCTTAATTGAGCTTTGATGAATGATACTTCGAGATTATCGTTACTCAAATCAAGTACGCACAAGGAATCTCTCAAACTGTATTGACATTTTCCAGACGAGATAATCTTGTTTGTAAACTTTGATATTGGATCTGTTCTTCTTAGCTGAACCTCTTGCACCGTTCATCTTTCCTCTTTGTCTTTCCGACGTGAGGGAAAAAAAGAGAGAAGATGAACGGTGCAAGGTTCAACTGAAAAGAACAGACCTATTATCTCATTGATAACCTAGTACACTGATCTTCTTCCCGCAGTGAGATGCTAAGTCTCCATAGACACGGAAACGCCATGCAGCAGAGTGCGTTGACCAATCACAAATTTTGATTTTGCCGCAGGCGACTTGCGGCATCCTTCTGATTGGTCAACGCACTCTACCGCACGGCGTTTCCGCGTCTATGGAGTCTCAAGCCCGGTGTCCACACTGTCCACAATGCAAGAACTGTGTCCAAGTTTCGATTTAAGCCAATCAACTTGCAGCTCTTACAGAAAAGTAGCAGTTTTATTGGCTCGGACACAGTTCTAGCATCGTGTATACAAAGCTTACGGTTCGTGTGCAGAAGCCATAAATGTGACTTTTCGAATTTAATTACTTCCGATTTTATCTTTACAGTTTAGATTTTGAAAATTTTACTTACGAAATTTTAATAACATTTAAATTAAAACACTTGAAAAATAGAATTCTGTCGATATTTCCTTGGAAACTAACGATGGATACGCACATGGCGAATACGACTTGAAACTTTGTGCCTCATGCGATAAGACATTTACGATTCATGACGCGCCGAGCGCCGAGAGAGTAATATCGAGACTTGTGATTTTTCTCAGAGATTTACATTGCGCAATCGAATAAATTGAAAATAAACAGAGATGAAAAAGCCTCCTTTACAGACACTCTAATGTACAGGATTCAGGTGATACGGAAACGAGGCTAATTAAATTCGGCAACGAAAGGTACATCGCGTTATCGGATAAATGCATGCGTTATTTTTCTAACCTAACGACTCCTTTACGAATGATAATAATCGCATTTTTGTTATATCATAATATCTTTTTAATTCGATTGTGACGTATATCAAGACTTTTCATTTCATGAACGTTGAAATTTTTGTAATTTGCGTCCATCTTTTGGCGTTCTTTTCTGTTACAAATTTGCTAATGTTGTTGGTTACATTTTGTTTTTTAATGCAAATTCTACTTTATATTCCGCTTAAAGTAATTTAAGACTTTAACATAACGTTATTTTATGTAATGTTATATTAGCTATTACAAACAGATTTAAAGATGGTCAGTGATAATAACTTAATCTTTTTGTGAATAAAAGTTTTTAGTGCAGCTTAATATGATTACCTTACGAGGAAAGCTCAAAAAGGATAATGACATAGCGAATTCAAAGAGCTACAACAGGCGAGTCTCGATACGAGATAAATTACTGATCAAAGAGGTCAATTTAATATAATATTTCTTGGATATTCATCGGTAGCGTCAGACGAGTTCTAATTTAGATGTTTGTGCTGGTTCATTTTTTCTTATAGGTGCAGGAAATGGAGCAGACATTGCCAGTAACTTGTCAGGTCACATTCAAAGATCCACATCGTCTTTATGAATTTATCTTGCTAATTATACCAGATGAGGGATACTGGATTGGTGGCCATTTCTATTTTCAAATTTATATAAGTGAAGAGTACAACATGGCGGTAATCTTATATTCTATAATTTTTACGTATTATGTCAATTGTACAAATAATTATTTTAAAGTTATATGTTAAATCAGTGGAGCGTTGCATGTTTTAATTACAATGGTTGCGCTCAGCAGAGAAAACTGCTTTGCAACTGTTGTAAAATTTGTGAATCTGATTGGTGTATGCTCTTAATTTTGGCCGAAGCTAAGAGTATACACTAATCAAATTCACGAATTTTACGAAGCAGCTTTCTCTGCTGAACGCAGCCATAAAGATCAATCCAGACAAACTTGCATAGGTGCATAACCATATGCATAAGGAAACGGATTGGTCTATTTCCTTATGCACATGCATATGGACCAATCAATTCTCTTATGCTTATGTTTATGCGTTATGCAAGTTTGTCTGGATTGACCTTAAGGCCTGTTTGTTTTAACTGAACTTTTTGCACAGTTCATCTTTTCTGTTTTTCTTTTCACGTTGGAATGAAAATGAGAAAAGATAAACTTTGCAAGAAGTTCAGCTAAAACAAACAGCTAGGCCTATTGCTTCCAGTAGCTCATTAAATATAGGCCTGTTCTTTTTAGCTGAATTTTGTGCACGGTTAATCTTTTCTCTTTTTCTTTCCAACGTGAAAAGAAAAAGAAGAAAGATGTACCGTGCAAGAAGTTCAGCTAAAAAGAACAGATATATTGTTAAAATATCGTAAGGGAAGGGAAGAGAAGGGATGGAAAGGGATGACAGGGGAAGGGAGATAGGGCAATATACGTCGACATAAAAATCAGGCTGAAAATTGCAACTGAATTCACCGACCATTGTTCTAAATCGTATTTTTTAGCCGCCAGTAGTAAAATGCTTAACGAAATTATGGCATCCTAACATAAGTGAGGATGGTGATGTATGTCTATCCATTTTAAGACAAAGCAGCATTGATGGAATGGGATGGGCCCCAACACGCAAACTGAAAGACGTCGTATGGGGTTTAAATTCTCTTTTCACTGTATGTATATAAGCATTTTCGGCTGCATAATTTATTGGATTGGTGCAGTTATACTGAACGTATTTTATATATACTTGTATTTCTCTTTTAGGATCTCCTAAACTTTGATGATCCTTTAAACAGAGATGCAGCAGATTTGTTTATTAAGGATAAAGAGTCTTTTCGAAATAAAGTTAAAGATTATGTAATGCAATATGCAAAAAGATGATTTACATTGTAATATTTTAAGTAACAAATAATTCTTTACATTTTTTAAATTGGTTTTGTGCTTCTTTTTAGTGTATGAGTACAGAACTTGCTCAAATGTGCTTTAGGTTGACTTTGGTTTAACACGATTTAATTTTGCTAGTCTTTTTGCCTGAAATAGACTGTTCTTTCAGTTTTATACAATCAAAGTCTTGGACTGTTGTAACAAAATTACATTAATATATATTAATTGACCTATATTATGTGTATAAACGAAATATAAATTAAAATATGTTTCGAAGATAAAAATTACATCACGTGTACAATGTTTTTTTTTCTCTTGATGAGACATTGTAATGCCAACAAGCAATTGTAAATAAAGTGGATGTTTAATAATATATTTAAATAATTATAATTTATATACCTCTTGTGTAAAACATTTAAATACTGAATATGTAAAAAGTATTTCATGCTAATAAGAATTGGAAATTATAAGGATGCGCACTATTTTGTCAAGTATTTATTTATAATTTTCGTACAATGTTTGATCGACATTTTTTATTAAACTTCAAAAAAATTTTTCAATTTATTATTTCATGTATTTTTTTATCTTGATTCATTAACATGTATAGATCACCATTTATTTGTTATCGTCGAATTAACGGACAGCTGAAAATTTGTCGACGAAAAAGTCGACGAAACATCGATGATCGGTCGACAACGATTTTTCGTTATAATTACAAGTTGTAACAAATAAATAATAACAAAAAAGAAAACAAAGAGTCCAAAGAGAGATGATTTTTCTCCTTGTATTTCTCGTTTCGCGTCGTTCCTCTGCACTGTTCGGGTATAAACTAGGCATGTACGCGAAGTGGTACGACCATACGCGTTTGCACGTGTGCATGTGCGTGTGTGTGTGTGTGTACATAAATATAAATAAAAAATTGCAGCTCTCCATCGTTAGAACGTGGTCAGCAGCTCTTCTTGTATACTGGTTGACCTGATGAGTTTTTGTTTGGAGCCCAACAAACTCTCGCTCGCCAGGCTGTCACTGTCTGAAGCTATCTTTGTCTTTTCTTGATGATACTCGTCACTATATTCCTTCAGTCTGTTGCCTAAGAATACAGCTCTCTCGCGTTTTTTAATCATGAAATCAGTCGGTAATAGCCACCGATGTTCGTGACACTCCTCTGGTATTGGTCTTTTGCTAAAGAAAAAAATTAATGTATTTTTTTTAACATATATAAAAAAAACTTATTCATATTGCGCATTTAATATCTACGATAATCACAATTATTCGATTACAATAAGTCTTTATATTAATCTTGAAAACTTTTTTTTGTTAATTATTACCAACCTTGGCGCGCGTTTAAAGACCAACATGAGAAATCTGGTGGCTTCTTGACTCAGCTCTTTGTAGAGATACTCGAATCTGTATCTGACGAAGGATATGTTCTGCCTGGTCTCGTCCACATCTTTACCGCGGAACGGGGAAACTCCGGACAGCAATACGTAGGTCAACACACCGACCATCCAGATGTCCGTTTGCGGGTAGACGGGTTCATCGTTGTAGAGCTCGGGCGATCTGTATTCGGGATGGCCCAAGTGCTTGGGCACCGCCGTGCCCAATTTGCTGACCCTATGAGCTGATCCCATGTCGACCAATTTCACCTGCACCGATCGCACGGACGACATCACGATGTTGTCCGGCTGAATGTCTAGGTGACAATATCCGCGCCAGTGAAGGTACTGCAAACCGTCGAGAATTTGCGTAACGGCATTCGCCACGCAGTTCTCCGTGTACTCGTGCCGACTGGAGAAGTACGTGAGTATGTCAGCGCCCTGAAGCTTCTCCAAGATGAATACCGCCACGGAGGAGCCGGATGCCTTGTAGGCAGCCTCCAACATCGCTATCCGCTCGTGTCGCAGCGAACGTAATACTTCGTATTCCTGGTTCACTTGCTTCTCCGTCTCGGCGTTCAATTCCAGGATCTTGGCGATGATGACGCAATCCGTGCTCTTGTCCACACCTTTCACCACCGCGGAGAATTGTCCGCGCGATAACTCGGAGATGAAGCTATACTTGGTGGACAGCTGCGGCTCCACCGACCATTCGATCGGATTCTCTTCTATGGAATAATCGATGTGCGGCTTGTCCTCTTCCAGGACAATCTCCTGGCCGGCCTCTGTCAGCTCCTGGAGATGCCTCATCGCCCGCGTGATTTGTACCTTTGGGCAACCCGGCATTCGCGTTTTGATCAACTTTGACGGGATGCCCTTCTCGCTCCAACCGATACGGTTGCGCGCTGCCAGACGGAAGTTGTAACTCGTGTCTTGTTTTAGGTCGCGCACCAGAAAGAATTCGTGATCAATATTGGAGGCAACGTCTATCCAGGCGATCGAATCACCCTCCTTGTACTGTAGATTGTAGCATAGCACTGGCGAGTTGCCGTCGTACTTCGGCTGTTTCCATCGTAGGAGTACTTCAGTATCCGAAACATCGGAAGCCTGGGAAGTTGAAGGTAATTACAACACGAAAATAGAAATACCATTTGTATATAAATTGATCGCCACTTCAAAATTGATTAGTCGCTTAATTATCGTACCTCTGGAGAGTCCGGGCCGCAAGAAACCGTTGCCTGCAACACCCTGGTTCTGACAATCGTCTGTCCTATCGGGTTTCTTGCCACGACTTTATATATCCCAATATCATGCTCCTTTGTAGGATTAAAACTGAGTATGGATCTCCCGTCGGAGTCCTCCGTCACCTTGATCCTGTTGTTCTCTTGGATGACCATATCGTTCTTGAACCACTGTATCAGTGGTTTAGGGTTTCCTACTGCCAGACAGGTGAGATGCGCCGGTTTTCCCTCCTCGATCGGGCAGATCTGCGGCTTCTCGCGGAAGAATGGAGGCTGGCCTTCCTTCTTTGATTCGATCATCGCCTCAGCTTCGGCATAACTATCTAACCGAGTGCCCAGTTCGTTCTTCAAACGTCTAAGCGTAAACGTGTCCGCCGATCCGTACCGATTGATGCGTGCCCTCCTCTCGTCGTCGATCTCCTCGTCCATAACATCCGTGAATCGACGACGTTCCCGTATGATGGGTGCCTGATAACAAAATAGTAATAGCATGTAAATAGTCTTCCTTCGTGAAAAATTCTCATATTTTCTCAGAAATTTTATAAGAACTTCTCATATTTTAGTAATTATTAATTTCTGATAAATTGCGTGGATTTTCTCATATTAATTCAGATTTCTACAAAAGTGTATTGACGGAAAAAATCTGAAATATTTCATCATTATTTTGTCTGAATTTTTCTGAAAAACGTACCAATTTGTATTAAAAAATCTGAAAAATACTGAAAAAATCCCAAAATTTTCATAGAAATTCTGATAAATAATATAAAAAATTCTGATGAGACATTTTTCCATTAGGGTTTAAGCTAACATTTTTTTTAATTTAAAACAGTTTTTTATAGCTGTACGCTTACTCTCCAATCAAAGCCATTATCTTCCGTAATAGAACGCGAGAATCCGGGACTACGGTTGCATGCGACTTTCATGTATTCACGTAGTCGTACAGGGAAATCGGTGTCCCGCAGTTGAAGAAGATATGTGTCTGGACCATTCTGATAACTGTAAAATAAAAATAAAAATAAAAGATGAAAGAATTGCATGAATTTTGTTACATAAAATAAAATACATTGCATTAAGATTTACGTAAAGTTTAATTATATGATTCTATAAGACTTGTATGAATTTAGATATGTTATTTGCAATTTAATATTAAAATAAAATCATAAATCATAGAATTTCTATGACAGTTTTAAAATCAAATCGGACATATTTTCTTTTACGGCGTTTACTTACTGGCTTTCGCTCGTGATTATTCCGATTTCCGTGTCGATCGGTTCTCTGGATGGTATTTGATTTTCCCATGTCCTAGGCGAACGTTTCTTCAACGGGCTGTGAGTCCTGTCGGGTTCGGGCGTGAATTTATGTCCGGGTGGATATACCATTCGCGATGGATCGTCAAACGCTGTCTCCAGCTTGCTTCTGCGATACCACGTGCGGCACGAAGCGTTGCTGTACCAATCCCTATAAAAATATACTTTATTTGTAATCAGACATTTTTAATGATAAATTACATTAATTCTGCAATAAAAACATCGGTTTTACGAAATTTACTTGTAGAAAATTTTTTACAAATCTATATTTTACGACACATATAATTATTTTTTTATCTAAAAAATTCTATTCTGCTTGAAGAAAACACTGTTTTATACATCCAATCCGTCTTAGATTATTTATGAAAAATTAATTTTTGTGTTTTAACGTCCGTTTAAAAGGTCATAATCTACTTACCGATAAAGTTTATAATAGTTCTTCAAGTTTTCGGAAGGTATTCTATAAGGTTCTGGAGGTGAGCTATCAATGTAATTGAACCACGGATGAGCCAAAGCGGCCCTAACGTCCATCCTTTTGTCGACGTTGTACACCAATAGGCTGCGAATAAAGTCCTGCGCTTCATTCGAGATATTTTTCCATCGGTCGTCGAAGTCCCACTTGCCTTCTCTGATCTTCCTCAGCGTCTCTCTATCGTTCGCACCTCTGAACGGCGAAATACCCGACAGCAAAATGTAGGTAATTATGCCAACGGACCACATGTCCGCGGCGTAGCTGACACCCTCATTATTAGTTACTTCCGGTGCAACATATTCCGGCATGCCGTACGCCAAGGTCATCAGCCTTGCGTGCGAAATTCTACGGGCGAGTCCGAAATCTCCGATCTTCAGGTCATCTCCTCCGGCGTGAGAGATTAGTAGATCGCCGAGCTGCGAGAAAACGTATTGAATTAAACATATTGAATTAAAGGAAAGATAGAGTTTTATCATGAAAGAGAAATATTAAAAAAAAGAGCCCTATCTGTTATATTTAAATCTCGAATTTTATATTTGTTTTTAAGTGGTATAAAATGATATTGCATAAATTACTAATTATTCAAAATTTTTATTTTTAAAAAAGTGATTTTTAAATAACTCACTGTCAGACCGAGATGCGCGTAATAATTTCCATGCATATATTCCAATCCCCATAGCAATTGGCGTATATAACGAGCGATATCTATCTCGGTATAGTGTTCTTGTCTCGTGAGGTTGTCCACTAATTCGCCACCGGCCGCTCTAAATTATCATCGTTAAGGATCGTTTGCTGATTGAATTCGTGTTATTTTCGAATAATATATTAAACAAATACTTTTAGAGATTTATAATCAGAATAATTAATAATAATGTTAAAAAAAAGTATCTTATGTAATTAGTCCAACATCTCAATTATCATGACTAATACTATATATATATAAGGCAAAATAAAATAATCAAGGATACAACTCCATG